GGCTCCCTCTGAGCAGGCTCCATGGGAGGAGGAGGCTCCATCTGATCAGGCTCCATGGGAGGAGGCTGTTTCATCTGAGTAAGCTCCATGGGAAAAGGCTGCTCCATCCCTGGAGGCTCTGTGGGAGGAGGCAGCTCCCTCTGAGGAAGCTCCAGGGGAGAAGGCAGTTCCCTCTGAGCAGGCTCCAGGGGAGGAGGCGGCTCCCTCTGAGGAGGCTCCAGGGGAGAAGGCAGCTCCATCTGAGCAGGCCCAGTCTAAGCAATATCCATGGGAGAAGGAAGCCCGGGCTGAGTAGAGCCTGTAGGGGTGACCACCACATGAGTGAGCGCAGGATCAGAAGAGACCTCCTCCTGAGCCAGCTCCATGGAAGGAGGCTCTGCCACAGCCATCTCCTTCTGCATCTCCTGAGCAGGTCTGCTGCCCTTCTCACTTGACCTACCTTTTTGAGGTTTCTTCTTTGCACCTTTTTTAATGGAAGTATTTTGCTTTTTATTGTCCCCCTTAGTCTCCTCCGTCTTGCTGTCATCCTTTGGCACCTCCGTACTATTTTTGGATTTGCTTTCCATCTTTTTTTTTTCTTTTTTGTCACTGGTTCCTCGTTCACAGGCTCATCTGACGGATGGGCTTCAGCATCCACCTTTCTTTTGTTCTTCTTGGCTTTATTGACTTTTTCTTTATTATTTCCTGTATGTACATCTATGTGTTTCGTCTCTGCTGCCTGTGTCAGGGATGATCAGACAGTGAGGGGCACATAGCTGCTTATAGAACCGGCACAATTCTCAAATCAGGATGCTCAAGTCCTTCCCTGGAAATTATTTATGTTTTAAAATTTAATACACATTTATGTGTATGTATATGTCTGTGTGAGTCTATGCTATGGATGCAGGAGGAAGCAAGATTTCCTGGAGCCGGAGTTATGGGCAGATGTGAGCACCCTGAGGGGTGTGTTGGGAATTGAACTTGGGTTTTCTACATAAACAACCAGGGCTCTTAACTGCTGAGCCATGTATCCATCCCTTCCTTCCCACATTTAAACCAGATCATCAGCCACGCCTAAGCCCAGATCTAATGTACTCTTCTATTTTGGCTCTTCCTTGACAGGTCAGTTACTCATCCACACTACCCAGCCTCAGTGACAAGATCCAGTTCCCATCTTTCCTGCGGACACTAACTAGTGACCTCACATCCTCCCTTGCTGTGACCCAGCTGATAATTCACTTTCAGTGGTCCTGGGTGATCATTCTGGCACATGATGATGACTTTGGGCAGCAGGCCAGCTCTCTGGCCACTCAGAAGCTGAGCACAGCTGGTGTGTGCATTGAGTTCACCTCTCATGTTACTTCCCATGAGTCCCTGGAGAAGATTGAAGAGATTGTCCAGAAGATGCAAAAATCCACAGCCAGGGTTGTTCTGGTTTTCCTAAGCAATTCTAATTTCCAGCCCATCCTGTATGGCTTAATGGATGTTCCTGTCTCAGGCCAGGTCTGGGTCAGCAAGGGCGCTCTGCACATGGCACTGGCACTAAACATTCCAGGAGTATCCCAGGTATTGCACAGCACATTTGCCCTTCTGTATCACAGCAGCAGGGCAATTGGGTTCCCTGAGTTCCTTGCTCACCTGCGCCCCAGCCAGACCCCAGAAGACATGTTTGTAAAGAAGTTCTGGGAGTTCACCTTTGATTGTACATGGCCCCACCAGAGCAGCACAGTGACAGAGGGTGTCCAGTTGTGCTCAGGGAATGAGAGTCTGAAAAACAAGCAGTACCCTTTTGCAGAAGTGAGTAAAATTGATGCTGCTTACACAGCTGTCTACAGCATTGCATATGCCCTGCAAGACATGATAACCCATGGGCACCAGCATGGGAAAGTTACAGACTCTCAGGACTTCCAGCCCTGGCAGGTGAGAGAGGCATGTGTGGAGTGGGTGATTCAGGTATGTTTGGGGGAGAGGACATTGGTTCCACCTAGTCTATACATGTGAAACTGACTGCATGCCTCAGCAAGGATGCCTCATACTTTTAGCTGAGACACATCTTAGAAGGAACAATGTACAAGGATTCCATGCTATGTGTGTGATCTCAAATGAGTCCTGTTCATGTGGCTTATATAACTTTGCAAGTACAGGATGCCTAGTAAAATTAATATTTCACATAACAATAATTAGATTGTTTAGTGTCACAAATTTAAGCTTTGGTACACAGTGGGTAACTTTTAGCTTAGGCATGCTGTGGAATCAGAATTTCAAACAGATATCCAATGCCATTTATTTACTTTTCATTTTTTGGTATATGGTACATGTGTGTGGGCACGTGTGTGGGCATGGAGACACATGTGATGGGGAGCACACTCATATGTGCAACATGTGGGAAGGTCTGATGATGATGAGGAATCATCTTTCAGTCGTCTTCTATCTTACTTTGTGGAGGGGTCTTTCACTCAATTCCAGAACATGTTGATGTGGCTAGTCTTGTTAGCCATCTTGGTCTCGACATTTCCTGTCTCATCCTTCTGAGGATATAAGTAGAGATTGTCTTCCACATCCACCTGACGTTTATGTGGGTTCAGATTTGAAGTCTGATCCTTAGGTGTTTATGACCAGTGATTTAATCACAGAGCCATCTCCTATTCCCTTACTTAATTTTCTATTTTAGAAATATTGATAATATCATACATTTATCTATTTTGGTCATTTTGCCCTGATTCTTTATCTGTCTGTCAATCTGTCTGATGTTTGTCTGTCTGTCTGTCTATACATCCATCATCCATCCTTCCATCCATCTATCTATCTATCTATCTATCTATCTATCTATCTATCTATCTATCTATCTATCTATCTATCATCTTTCCATCCATCCATCTATCTACTTTCTTCTCCTAGCCACTTAGGGTAGTCAAGGTCATGATTGGTAAGAGAACCTCTGGGAGACATGTTGCTCACTGATGAGGTAAACAGTGAGAATCATATCCAAGGAGGGGATACGTTTTCATTACCGAAACTCAGATACCTGAGTTTCTACTATGTGCCTGGTAAAGATACATATGGTTGTAAACCAGAAGGAGAGTGATAGTTGTTGGCATTTTGGCTGTGAGTGACAGGTTAAAATTTACAGGAGCCAGGCTTGGAGGCCCATGACAGGCATGGGCTTTTAACCCTGGCCTCCTAGCACATAAGATATTGAGGCCAACATGGACTACAAAACAAGATTCTGCCACAAAATTAAAATATGTGTGTTTTGAAATGTCTGTGTTTACTCTATGATGAAGATATAAAGTAAGTTGAGTGAAGAGCAGGTGAAGGGAAGTGAAAGGCAGGAAAAGCTGTCTTTGTATGGAAATATCTGAGTTCCAGACATGAGGGTGAGAAGTCTCACCATGGGTAGAAGCGATAGCAGTGATTGCAGATGGCAGGGACCTAGAATGGAGCAAATAGAAGAGCAACATGGCGGGACTGATGAATGATGGGAGACTGTTTGGAGTGAATGGGTGGTCTAGGTAGGCTGGGGAAGTCTGTGGAAGTCCTGCTAGGATTTGGAGTCTACTGAGTGTGATGGGAAGACTGAGGACAGTAGTGCACAGCCAAAAGAGACCCTGGAGCAGGAACCACATTGTCATGTTTTTGGGTTTAATTTTAAGGCTGTTGAGGTAGATCAGTGGATAGTGGCACTAGCATAAGTTCGATTCCTGAGTCCCACAAGATAGCAGGAGAGAACATTCCTGAGAGTTGTTCTCTGGATTACTCAATATGAGTTAGTTGTATACACACGCGTGTGCATGCGCACACGACACACACACACACACAAACACACTGTACTAGGTTTAAAAATTATCTTGATTAAAATATTATGTATTATTACTTCATTAAAGCTAAAACATAGCCGGGCGGTGGTGGCGCACGCCTTTAATCCCAGCACTCGGGAGGAAGAGCCAGGCGGATCTCTGTGAGTTCGAGGCCAGCCTAGTCTCCAAAGCGAGTTCCAGGAAAGATGCAAAGCTACACAGAGAAACCCTGTCTCGAAAAACGAAAAAAAAAAAAAAAAAAAAAAGTTAAAGCTAAAACATATTTGTGAGCCCCTGAAAATAGCAAATGTCCTTGATCTTCTTCATGCACAATGGTACCAGACAGTGGTTGAAGGGACTCGGTATCATTGCAGAGGTGACAAGTTTGGACAAGACTCCAGACTTGCCCCTGCTGGTGTTTAATGTCTCCCTTCTGTTTTCAGCTGCTCCAAGCCCTCAGGAAGGTGCACTTCAAGACTCCTGATGGAAGTGAAATTATATTTGATGCTAATGGAGATTTGGTGACAAAATTTGACATACTTCAAGGACAGAAGACCCCTGAGGGTATATTCCACTTGGTCCATATAGGCATGATAGACCCTCAAGTCTCTTTGGGGAGCAAAATGAAGTTCCATTTGATGGAGGATCTTCACGTGAGTTGCCTGAATGCAGAGATGACTCTTGTCTGAGTTTGTTAAAATCAGAGGGAAAATCCAAGTCCAGGACTCCTCATCTCCATTTGTGCATGAAGTAGATGTAGCCCTAGATTGGGCCAGTCAGGGATAGCTGGTTATGTTGTTTACCTCCTAAGAGATCTTTCTCTGGATGGACTTGATTCACAATCAAAAATGAAAATACAAACCTGGAATCGTGAGATGGCTCAGTGGTTAAAGTATTTTGTATGCAAGTACAAGAACCAGACTTTTGGATCTCCAGAACACTTGTAGGTGATGAGTGGGTAGTGTGGGCCACCTGCAATTTCAGTCTTGGAAGGTGAGGACAAAGAGATGCACAAAGCTAACTGGCTAGTAAGACAAGCCATATCAGTGAAGTCTGGGTTTTACTTTGAGCCTCTGCCTCAATGGAAAAGTGGAAAAGCAGTTGAGGATGATTCCCAACTTTAACCTTGGGCCTCCACATGTACTTGTCTGTACATGAACATGATCCCACATAGATGTACAATTGCATGTAAGCATACTTACACCAAATACACAGAAAAATAGGGCTGAGGAGAACATATAAGACCTACAAAATAGAATGAGAGTCTGCAGCTGTTGCTCCCTTGGAAGTATTTTCAGTGTCTGTGTTTAGGACCTGCTCTGAGAAGAGGAAGATAGTGACTTACTTTCCCATGGTCCATCTGGGACATGGACTCAACAGACACTCAGTGTACTTGTTGTGTTAGGTGTTTTAGCCACTATGAGAAATACCTGAGAAATAGTTTGAAGTGAGGAAAAGTTTTAATTGTCTCCTGGTTTGAGAGCTCCAAGTTCAGATGTATCCATTGCTTTGTGTGTGTGTGTGTGTGTGTGTGTGTGTGTGTGTGTGTGTGTGTGTGTGTGCTTGAGGCAGTATGTCATGCATGGCAGCAGGCATGTGTGGTGGAAGCAGTTGCACAGTTCATGGGGCACAGGTAGGGAAGGTAGGGAGCCAGACAGATTAGATAGGTAAACAAGTTACATCTTACCAGTGCATAGCCCCAGTGTCCCACTAATCCTAACTAGGTCCCATGTTCTCTTGTACAATAATTAGTCAAATTATGAATCCATGGAGGATTTAATCCATTGATTATTTCACAAGTATTGTGTTACTTAGATTTTCTGTTGCTGTGAGGAGACATCATGACCACAGTATCTCTTATAAAATAAAAGCATTTAATGAGGTAGCTTATATTTTCCCAGGTTTATTTGGTCCATTATCATTCTTATGGGACATGGTGGCACGCAGGCCAAATTGGTGCTAGAGAAGGAGCTGACAGTCCTGCATCTTGACCTGTAGGCAACAGGAAGTGGACTGGGTCACTGGGAGAGGCTTGAGCATAAATGAGACTTCAAAGCCCATCTCCATAGTGACATGCTTCCTCCAACAAGGCCACACAAACTCCAACAAAGGCTCATCTCCTAATACTGCCACTCTCTATGAGTTTATGGAGGCCTATTATGTTCAGACCACCAAATTTTACTCTCTGCCCCTCAATGCTTGTAAAATTATCACAATGCAAGTATATTTAGTCCATAAACAATGTTTAAATATCCAAAGGTCAAAGTCTCTTTTGAGATTCATGCAGTTTCTTAACTGTAATCTCCTATAAAATCAAAGTAAAAAAAATAATACTCTTCAAACATATAATGGTACAGGATGTACATTATTGCTCCAAATGTATGAAGGGGAGCATAGTGAGGAAATTGTGGACCAAAGCAGGACAGATGACCAGTTGGGAAAACTCTAAACTCTGCATATTTATGTCAGTCGTTAATACAATCCTCAGACCTCCAACTCTTTCATCTATGTTAACTGCATCACACTTCTCATTGTTTTGCTGGTTCTACTTCCTGTTAGTAGCTCTCAACAGCAGGTGTCCCATGGCTCTGGCATTTCCAACATCTTGGGGTCTTCAAGGCAGTTCAGGCCTTACCTTCAAAGCTCCATGCAATGGCCTCTCTAGGCCTCCATTTATGGACTCCCTGGACATATGCCTTGCCTCAGCAGCTTTCCATAGTCTCACAGGCAATTTCCATAACCCTTTTCTTCTAGCCTAAGAGCCAGAACCATGTAGCCAGACTGCCAAGTTCTGTTGCTTTTGGGGCTGTAACATGGCCCTCTCATTCAATTACATCTTTATCAGCTTTTTGTTTTTGATGGTTTCCTTCACTGCCTAACCTAGGCTGTCCTGAAACTGGATCTGTAGACTAGGCTGGCCTCAAAGTCAGAGATCCACCTGCAACTGCCTTCTGATTTCTGGGACTAAAGGTGTGCACCACCATACCTGATTTTAAGCTTCTCTCTAATTCCTTTTCACAAGTTTGAAATTTAGCTGAGAGGAATCTTGCCCTGTGGTCACCAACCCCTTTATTCCATTTCTTAATCTGTTTATCAGCTTGAACACAGGACTTAGCTCCATTCCAGGTCCTGGTGTTCCTTTTCTTCTCAAAATTTACATTTCATGTTTTTCCTTGCTCAGCTTGTTCCTTTTTAATATAAATCTTTCTTAGAGTTAACACTAACAACCACACGACACAGTCTATATTAGGTTATTTTGCAATTTTTTCTGACAATGGAATTAATCCAAAACTTTTCACTTTAGCCTCAGGCAGACTCTTTGGACAAGAGCAAAAAGCAACCACATTCTTCACCTAAATATCACAAGAACAATCTCTAGGCCACACATTAGTATTCTTCTCTTCTGAAACTTTTTGAGCCAGCCCCATAATTCATCTAATCACACTCAGCGCCTCAGTCTTCTATGCTTCTACCAGATGGCCCATTAAGCAGCACTTAAATCTTTCTACTGCTTTTCTGATTTTCTAATCCATTGTTCTATGGTCCATATTTATTCAAACAATAACATGATCAGGCCTATCACTTCAATACCCCAGTCCCAGGAATCAACTTACGTCTTATTAGGCTCTCTATTGGTGTTAAGAGACACCATGACCATGACATCTTTTATAAAGAAAAAACATTTAATTGGGGTGGCTTACATTTTCAGAGGTTTCATCCATTATCATCTTGGTGCATCATTGTGGCTTGCATGCAGACATGGTGCTGGAGAAGGAGCTGAAAGTCCTACATCTTGACCTACAGGTAACAAGACATGAACTGGGTCATTGGGCATTGTCTGAGCACCTATAATACCCCTAGACCCACCCTGTCATGACACACGTCCTCCAACAAGGCCACACCTACTCCAAAAAGTGACATCTGATAGTGCCACTCCCTATGAGCTTATGGAGGCCAATTACATTCAAACCACCACAGTCATCAAGATCCAATAATTATTCTTTAAATATCCACTGTCAGGTAACCAGTGGTCCACATAGGAGACTTTGGGAAACATTTGAGGTCAAGCCTTGACATTTACTATCACAATTAGAAGCAGTGTTGAAATAGTTATGTCTATGTGTGGAGTGTGGTGCATAGAAATGCCTCAGCTGCCTAATACCAGTGTACATAGAGTTCTCTCCTCTACAACTTTATCTAACGTTGTTCTGGTGGCATCTCCAGTCCATGGTGGCCTTAAGGCTTTCCACATGAGAATGAGATTCCCTTTCTTAGATTTTTCAAGCATGAAGACATATGCTATGTGTTCCAAGGACTTCTTTGAAGAACCTTTCAATGGACTTGATCATGGGAGGGTTTTCTGCTGTCTTCTGTTGTGGCAGTGATGTCAGCATGCCACACTTCCATCTTCATAATCCTTGCCTGGAGGTTGAGCTCTGCTAAGAAAAATTGAGTCATGCAAAATGATTGTGTGTGTGTGTGTGTGTGTGTGTGTGTGTGTGTGTGTGTGTGTGTGTTGAGGGAGTCAGTACTTAAATTTTTTTCTCTTATTGAAGCTGGATGATACTTTATTATTAGAGTAAGTGAAAAATAGCACTGCAGTCAAACTGTAAGTCTTAACAGCTTCACAGAGGTAGATGGAGAAAAGTAGAGAGTCCATCATGTCTTCTGAGTTAGACATGGAGTGCATCAAGCAGCTCCAAGGCTGTGGAGAGCTTCAGAGAAAGAAATTGAAAGCCAGGAATATCAAGGAAATCAAGACCGGGCTGTGGACTTTTGTAAAGGCTGCCAATACTTAAAATTCTTTTCAAAGATTTTTTGAATATATGGATGTTTCCCTGCATGTATTTTTTTGTACTGTTGTGTGTGCCTGGTGTCTGTTCAGGCCAGAAGAGGACACTGGATCCTCCAGAACTGCAGGTATAGTGTGAGCTGCCCTATGGTGACTTGGAATCGAACCCTGGTCTTCTGGAAGAGCAGCCTGTACTTTTAACCACCGAGCCTTCTCTCCTGCCCCCATGCATTCAATTGTTGATATAGGAGCCCCAGAGACTGGGAAACAAAACACATCACATTGTCTAGCTATATTTTTGAATCCCTTCGCCAAGCAAGGCAGATGTAGCCCTTCCTCTATTACATTCCAAGGTACCTCTCCAATCTGGCATCTGATGGGATAGACATGTTTTTCTGCCAGTCATCTATCTCATCTAGAGTTCTGTGAGGAAACTGTTCCATTCTGGTTCTCAGGCTGAGTCAAGCATCTGTATTCCTGGAGTCCCTGGTGACACTGTGCTCACTGTCACTAGGTGCCCAGCTCTGTCTGCAGTGAAAGCTGCCTTCCAGGGTTCAGCCAAGTGCCCAGGCTGGGAGCCCCCCACTGCTGTTTTGATTGCAGTCCCTGCCCAGAGGGACAGTTTGCAGACCAAAGAGGTAAGGGCATGTGGAGCTGGAATCTGGGGAGGGGGTCAAGAGGGCACTGTGAGCCTTCTGTATTTGTCCATTGTCTTTGTTCCTGTTGCACTGCTGTGAAGAGACACCATGATTAAAGCAGGTTCTAAAAGAAAAGCATTCAACTGGGGGCTTCCTTAGAGTATCAAAGGGTAAGTCCATGATCATCATGGCAGGAAGCATGGCATTAGGCAGGGAGGCATGGCACTTCAGCAGTAGCTGAGATCTTACATTCTGATCTACAGGAGCCAGGCTGCTAGAGAAGTGGAGAGTGTGCCTGGTATTGGAGTTTGTACTTTCAAAGGCCACCCCCATTAACAACCCTCATCCAACAATGCTACACCTCCCAATCCATCCCAACAATCCACCAATTAGAAACCTAACATTCAAATAGATGAGTCATTCACAGTCAAAACACCACACCCATCCACTGATATATTGCAGTCTTTGTATTTCTATGGACAGCAGCTAGAACCCTAGTCTTACAGCTGTTCTTAGTTAAATTCCTTGTTCAGAAAGACAAGTGCACTACCCATAGCTGGGGTGTAGAATGAATTGTCCTCTAGCAAACACTGCACATCTTTGGCCTCCAATCAAGAATCAGCTATCTCCAGAAGCTTCTAGCAATCCTGTAACAGAACCCCGGCTTTTGACACGCTGATGAATTTCACTTGCTTTTTAAACCTCTTGTAAGTGGAAATGAATGGTCAATGTTCTTCTGTGATTTCCTTCCTCGTGTTTATTATTGGGATTCATTCCAGAGGCTAAATGGCAGCAGACCACTACATCCCATACAGTTAGAGCTTCAGAACATATTCCTTTATCATTGTGAAAGCCCAAAATGCGGAAATGCAAAGCAAAATTATCATCAGGGTCGGTGGTGTGTGCTGTCTCACTCTTGCCCTGGCACAGTCATCCTCTCCCTGTGTGCTCTCATTTCATGGTGTGTGTGTGTGTGTGTGTGTGTGTGTGTGTGTGTGTGTGTGTGTCTGTGTCTGTGTGTGTTGTTCCTTTTGCTTTTGGTATGTGGTTTGGTTTTGAGACACTGTCTCACCTGCAGCTCTGACTGGTTTGTCACTCCTTATGTTGACCAGTCTGTCCCCAAACTGATAGAAATCTACCAGCCTCTCCCCTTCCAGTGCTGAGATTAAAGTCATGTGCAGCCACACGCATCCCAGTTCCCTCTTCTTATTAGCATAGTAGCTCTGTTGGAATTAGGGGCTAATTCTACCCTGGTGACACCATTTAAACTTTATTACATCATCCCAGTTCACTTATGGCAAAGTATGTCCCATTTTGAGGTGCTTAGAGACAGGACTTGAAGAAATAAATTTTGGGGGCTCAGCTCAGTGCTAAACCTTTTTAATTTGACCAGTTACTGATACTATTGGAAAGAAATGAACCATTAAAAACTCACAGAGGAGACAGGTTGTAGTGGCACATTCCTCTAATCTCAGACTCAGGAGGCAGAGACAGGATGGACTTTGGGGATTTTGATCTGCCAGTATAGTCAACTCAGTGATGGCCAGGTTCAGTGAGAGATCCTGTCTTAAAACCTAAGGTGAAAAGGGGGCTGAGGAGGTGCCTCAATAGTTAGGAACACCGCCATGGTGATTCACAACCATCTGTACCTCCAGATTCAGGAGAACTGATGTCATCTTCTGAGTTCTGCAGGCACAAGGCAGGCACATGAGTTCCATACATAGGTATAGACAAAACAGTCTACAAGTAAAATAAAATAAGGAATTATAAAATACTAAGGTTCAGAGTCTGGTGAAATGGTTCATCAGTTAAAGTATTCACTGTCAACCCTGACAGCGTAAGTACAGCACCTGGGACCCACATGGAAGAAGGTGAGCTCCAAATTCCTGACAGTTGTACTGACCTCCACTTGCACACCTTTGCATGTCTGAGCCCATGCAAACATACACACAAACAATAAACAACTAAGTTTGATTAGAAAAATAAGGAAGGGGAAGTGGTTGAGCAATAATATCTGATGATAATGTCTGGTCTTGACAAGTATGTGCATCCACTTACATACATGTGTGTACACACAAACCTGCACATACACAAGCTCACACAGTTTAGGTATAGTGGTGCATGTCTCTAATCACAGCACTGGAGCGGACAATGGAAGAAGGCTTAGGAGTACAAGGTCATCCTCTGTAACTCAACAAGTTCAAGGCCAACCTGAGTTACATGAGACACTGTTTGAAGACAGAAACAAGACTTCTCACGTAAAACAGATACTAACTGTGATTTTTTTCTCTGTATCTCTGCCTCTAATATCAGCCATCTGCCTCATCACCAGAAATAATTTATAAATACATGACTTGATGGAAAGGCTGTAAGAGCAGTTAGTGCTTGGGACACCTTTCTTTTGAGCTGGTGCAGTTCATATAGTGTTGTAGAAATGATGTCTGTCACTTTGCACAGCTTGGCGCAGGGAGGAGGGTCTTAGACCTGCCTCAACAGAATGTGCCAGGCTCTGCTGACTTCCCTTGGGAGACCTTGCCTAGGAGGTGGTGGTCTTAGGGAGTGGGTGGGGGAGGGGGTTGGGCTTAAGAGGAGGGAGGACAGGGGAATCTGTGACTGATAGGTAGGATGAATGGAAAATTTCTTAATTAAAAAAATAAATAATAAAAAACACCTTCAAAAAAAAAAAAAGAAAAGAAAAGAAATGGTGTTTGTCTGTCCACCATAGACATGAAGAGCTGTCTTCTGTGCCCCAGGGAGCAGTACTCGAGCCACATGAGAGACCATTGCTTGCCCAGGACAGAGATCTTCCTGGCCTTTGAGGAACCTCTGGGATTCATGCTGGCTTTGGTGGCACTCTTCCTGGCTGGTCTGGCTGTCCTGGTTCTGGGAGTGTTCCTGAAGTACAGAGACAGCCCTGTGGTCAGGGCAAACAACAGAAGTCTCAGCTACTTACTCCTGCTCTCTCTTTGCCTCTGTGCCCTGTGTGCCTTGCTGTTCCTTGGGCAACCCAGTGTCTTGACGTGCCTCCTCCGTCAGACCACCTTTGCTGTGGTGTTCACGGTGGCCGTGTCCTCTGTTCTGGCCAAGACTCTCACAGTGGTCCTGGCCTTCAGGGTCACCAGGCCAGGGGACAGGATCCGGGTATGCCTGAGCCCTGGGGCTTCCACCTCAGTGGTCCTTATTGCTTCCTTCATGCAGGTTGTTCTTTGTGGAGTCTGGCTGGCCACCTCCCCACCATTCCCAGACAGGGATATGGTCTCGGAGCCCCAGCACATTGTCATCCAGTGCCAGGAGGGTTCTGGCACCATCTTCTTCTGTGTGCTGGGCTACTTGGGTTTCCTGGCAGTGGGTACCTTCTCTGTGGCCTTTCTGGCCAGGGGCCTGCCAGATGTCTTCAATGAGACTAAATTCCTGACCTTCAGCATGCTGCTCTTCTGCAGTGTCTGGACAGCCTTCCTGCCCCTGTATCACAGTGCCAGGGGCAAGTCCACTGTGGCTGTAGAGATCTTCTCCATCCTGGCCTCCACTGCTGGCCTTCTGGGTGGCATCTTCATCCCCAAGTGCTACATCATCTTGCTGAAACCAAGGAGGAAAACTGCTGCCTGGCTCAGGCAAGGCCACCGGGCACAGCAGGAGAGGCAGAGTGAGATGCTCCAGAGAAGGTGTGTCCCCAGATCCACACCACAAATCTTTATGACCTATTCCTCGGGGAAGTCACCAGGACCACCCTTGTGATTTTGTCTCACTGTTTTTGTGTAGATCAAAAGTTATTTAAAAGGCCTATCAAGAGCAAAGTGAGATACTTTTAACAAAACACTCATAATATCACTTGATAGTAGGGCCATATAGATGGTTATTTACTATTCCCTCTCTATGTATTGCTAAAATTTATCACAATTGAGATAGTTAGAAAAGGGAGCTGGCAAAATGGCTCAATGGTTAGAAGCACTTACCATTAAGCTTGGCAACCTGGCTTTGATACAGAGGATCCAGATGTTGGGAGAAGAGAGGTGACATTACTAACTTGTGTTATCTCTGCTTGCTTACAGAAGCACCTCCTATTTGCATACAAACAAAATATAAATGTAAATTGTGAAAAGGGTAATGAAGTGATGATAATCTTAAGTGTTGCTGAGGGTTTGAGGAATTAACAGGTTGATCGTTGATCTCTCCTCTTTGTTTTGAGATCATCAGTAGTGGGGATTGAACCTTTCACTTGCAGATCCTGCACAGACTTAGCATGTGATTTAGCAATGTCACTCATAGATACATACCCAAGAAAAATAAAATCATGTCTGCAAGGACTGTAAATGAATATCCAGAGATGCATTATTTAGGCACTAAAAGTTGAAACACTCTGATATTTGTTGGTTTATGAATGTTTGGTGTGACTTATTCATCCCTAGGATGTTATTTGGCAATAAGAAATAATTGTATAAATGAAATAGAATACTGTTTAATATGTGGTTATATACTAAGAATTTTATACTGAGTTAAGGAAACTAGATAAAGAAAATAATATATTTTAATATTTCAATCTATGAAGAAGCAAACCCAGAAAGACATATAATAGCATAGTGTTTTTTTGAGGTTTGTGGAGGGGACATTGGAAGTGAGGAGTGTAGACTAAAGGGTGCACTGTTTCTTTCTGGGGTGATGAAGGTCTAAAGTTTGTTTGGTCGGGCTGTTGAGGTGGCTCAGTGGTTCAGAGCACTCACTTCTCCTCCAGAGGCCTCAGTTTGGTGCCAGAACCCATGCCAGGCAGCTCACAGCCACCTGTAAGTCCAGCTCCAGTGGATACAACACCATGGTCTCTGTGTGCACCTGCACTCATGTGCTCATACTACACCCCATGCCTAATTAAAAAATCACTTGGTAATGGTTGTAAGACTCCAGAATATGCTAATGACCACTAAATTGTCATCTCCTTTTATTTATTTATTTGGGACCGGCTTTTCCACATCAACCAGGCTGACTTCAAACTTGTAGCAATTCTCCTGCTTCAGTGTCCTGAGTGTTGGGATTTTAGATATATTCCCACACCTGGACAGTTGCATAAAGTAAATGTAAATGGATGAATTGTATACTGTGTGAATTGTGTCTCAATGAAGTTAGTTTTTTTTTTTTAATAAAAAATCATCCACCAATTACAGAATGTGAATTTCCATTATTTCCTGATTTCTAAGAAAAAAATCAAGTAGTCTTCAACCCAGAGATGCATGGAGGGCTCAACATACAAAAATTTGTCAGTATAATACACCATATAAACAAACTGAAAGAAAAAAAAAACCCGCACCTGATCATCTCAGTTGCTGAAAAAGCCTTTGATAAAACCCAACACCACTTCATGATAAAGGTCTTGGAGAGATCAGAAATACAAGGAACATACCTGAACATAATATAGGCAATTTACAGCAAGCCAACAGCCAATATCAAATTGAATGGAGAGCAACTCAAAGCAATTCCACTAAAATCAAGAACAAGACAAGGCTCTCCACTCTCCTCATATCTATTCAATATAATACTTGAAGTTCTAGGTAGAGCAATAAGACAACAAAAGGAGGGCAAGGGGATACAAGTTGAAAAGGAAGAAGTCAAACTTTCCCTATTTGTAGGTCATATGATAGTATACATAAGTGTCCCAAAAATTCTACCAGGGCACTCCTACAGCTGACAAACACCTTCAGCAGTGTCGTAGGATACCAGATGAATTAAAAAAAAGCAGTAGCCCTCCTATATACAAATGATAAATGGGCTGAGAAAGAAATTAGAGAAACATCACCCTTTACAATATCCACAAGTAATATCAAATACCTTGGAATAACTCTAACTAAGCAAGTAAAAGGCCTCTATGACAAGACTTTAAGTCTTTGAAGATGGAAATTGAAGAAGATATCAGAAAATGGAAAGTTCTCTGCTGTGGGATGGTCTGTATGCCAAGTTACTCTGATTGGTCAATAAATAAAACACTGATTTGTCAGTGGCTAGGCAAGAAGTTTAGGCGGGACTAACATAGAGGAGAAAAGAAAGAACAGGAAGGCAGAAGGAGACAGTGCCAGCTGCCACCATGACAAGCAGCATGTGAAGACGCTGGTAAGCCACGAGCCACATGGCAAGGTATAGATTTATGGAAATGGATTAATTTAAGCTATAAGAACAGTTAGCAAGAAGCCTGCCACAGCCATACAGTTTGTAAGCAATATAAGTCTCTGTGTTTACTTGGTTGGGTCTGAGTGTCTGTGCGACTGGCAGGTGACAGAGATTTGTCCCGACTGTGGGCAAGGCAGGAAAACTCTAGCTCCAGTTTTCCAATTCTCATGGAAAGGCACAATCAACATAAGAAAAATGACAATCTTACAAAAAGCAACCCACAGATTCAGTGCAATCCCCATCAAAATCTGAACACAATTCTTCACAGACCCGGAAAGAACAATACTCAACTTCATATGAAAAAACAAAAACCCCAGTATAGTCAAAATAATCCTATACAATAAAGCCACCTCTGGAGGTATCACCATCCCTGACCTCAAGCTCTACTATAGAGCCATAGTAATAAAAACAGCTTGGTATTGGCATAAAAATTGACATGTGGACCAATGGAATCTAATTGAATACCCTGATATTAATCTGCATACCAATGAACACCTGATTTTCAACAAAGAAGCCAAAACTGTATAATAGAAAAAGAAAGCATCTTCAACAAATGGTGCTGGCATAACTGGATGTCAACATGTAGAAGATTGCAAATAGATCTGCATATATCAGCATGCACAAAACTTAAGTCCAAGTGGATCAAAGACCTCAATATAAATTCAGTTACACTGAACCCAACAGAAGAGAAAGTGGGATGTAGCCTTGAAGGCATTGGCACAGGAGGCCACTTTCTAAATATAACACCAGTAGCTCAGATACTGAGAACAACAATTAATAAATGGGACTTTCTGAAACTGAGAAGCTTCTGTAAGGTAAAGGACAGGTCAATAAGATGAAATGACAGCCCACAGAAAAGGAAAAGATCTTCACCAATCCCACATCTGATAGAGGGTTGATCTCCAAAATATATAAAGAACTCAAGTAACTAGACATCAAAATAACAAACAATCCAATTAAAAAATGGGATACAGAACTGAACATCATTCTCAACAGAAGAATCTCAAATGTTTGAAAGCAATTTAAGGAATTGCTCAATGTACTTAGTCATCAGGGAAATGCAAATATAAACAACTCTGAGATACTATCTTATACTTGTCAGAATTGATAAGATCAAAACCCCTCAAGACAGCTTATGTTGGAGAGGATTTGGAGCAAGGGGAACACTCCTCCATTGTTGGTGGGAGTGCCAACTTGTACAGCCACTTTGGAAATCAGTATGGCAATTTCTCAGGCAATTGGGACTCAATCTACCTCAAGACCAGCTATACCACTCTTGGGCATACACCCAAGGAATGCTCCATCATACCACAAGGATACTTGCTCAAGTATGTTCATAGCAGCATTATTTGTAGTAGCCAGAACCTGGATATAACCTAGATGCCCCTCAGCCAAAGAATGGATAAAGAAAATGTGGCACATTTACATAATGGAGTATTACTCAGTGGCAAAAAACCAATGACATGAAATTTGCAGGCAAATGGATGGAAAAAGAAAATATCATCCTGAGTGAGGTAACCCAGACTCAAAAAGACAAACATGGTATGTAGTCACTCATAAGTGGATACTAGAAGTAAAGCAAAGGATAATCAGCCTAGAATCCATAGCTCCAGAGAAGGTAGGTGATAAGGAGGACCCTAAGAGGGATCATGGAATGCCCTGAGAATGGGAAATAGATGAGATCTCTTGAGTAAACTGGGGTTGAAGGGAGCAATGGAGTGTAGGAGGTGGTGGGTGTGAGCATGGGGGAATGGAATTGTTGATCTGGAACATGGGCAGAGTGTGAGAACAGTGAAGGAGATTTCTTGATAGAGGGAACCATCACTGGTATAGGAGAAACCTACTGCTAGGGAAATTCCCAGGAATCCACAGGGATGACACCAGCTTAGACTACTAGCAGTGGTGGAGGGGGTGCCTGAGCTGGCCTACCCAGGTGATTAGATTGGTGAATACTCTGTCATCATAGAGCCTTCATCCAGTAACTGATGGAAACAGATGCAGAGAGCCATGGCCAAGCACCAGGACAAGCTCTGAATTCCAGTCTAAGAAAGAGATGAGGGATTCTATGAGAAAGGTGCATCAATACCATGATGGGGAAACTTACAGATACAAGTGAACCAAACTAGTGGGAACTTGTGAACTTTTGACTGACAGATGTGCATGGTCTGTATGGGACCTGAACTGAGCTCTCTGGATGGGCAAGGCAGTTGTGTAGCTTGGCCTGTTTGAGGGGCCCCTGACAGTGGGAATAGGATCTATCCCTGGTGCATGAACTGGCTGTTTGGAGTCAATTGCCTATAGTGGGACAATTGCACAGCCTTGATCCAAGAGGAGAGTCTTGGACCAGCCTCAGTTGAATGTACCAGACTCCCCATGGAAGATCATACCTTTTCATATGAGGGGCTGTGGGGTGGACTGTTGGGGAACGCTAGGAGGGAGTGGGAGGAGAGATGAGGGAGGATCTGTTGTTGGTATGTGGAATGAATAAAAAAATTTTAATAAAAGAGGAAAAAATAAAATAAAGTTGCATAATGTAAATGTATAAACTGTACAGTATGTAAATTATGTCTCAATAAAGCTTGTATTAATGAAGAATTGTGTATCAGTTACAGAGTGTGAACTTCCATTATATCCTGATATCTAAGCAAAGATCAAACTATTGAAAGTGAAAGTTCAATAAGCATAGGCTGAAATATCAGTGAACTGGAGCATTGCTTGTTTTTATTGATCTGTTTTTAATTGTATACATTTATTGATTGATAGATTTGTGTGTACATGTTCCCATCAATGTTTTTGGAATGCAGTGCCAAAGCACTATGTGGAGGTTAGAGGATAAGTTTGAGAAGTCAGTTCTTGTCTCTCATCACCTACGACCTGTAGATTTAATGAGGGTCATCAGGCTGCCTTTACTTGCTAAGGTGCTGAGCCATCGATTTGGCTCCATTTTAGGCTTCAGTGTGGGAATTATGATTATGTGAGAAAATTATACTCATCTGTTGGAGTAACAAAGTTTAGAATTTGTCTTCTTACTTGAATGTATATTTTTTGTATGTGTAAAGTGTGTGTGTGTGTGTGTGTGTGTGTGTGTGTGTGTGTGTGTGTGTGTGCACCGTGGCTTGTGAGTGGAGTCAGAGGACAACTTTGTAGAGTTGGTCCTCTCCTACCTCCATGTGGGTTCTTTGGATCACACACAGGTGATCAGGTTTGTGTATCAAGTGATTTTTACCTGAAAACTATCGTGGTAGTTGGGATCTGTTTTCAAATGACAGAAGAATGGCTCAGTTGCTTGGGAGGATTTCTCACGACTCTACAAAGACATGGATATTTGTTGTTTTCTAGTGATTGGTTATTTGTATGTCCAAATTATTCATGATAAACCACTCTAAAAATTCCTTAAAGAATAGCAAAGATCACTCAGAACATAGAGTGTGAAAGAAATATTTTATTTTAGCTATTCAGGTATTTGCTTCTTGTACAAACCTGGGTGTTGTCTACAAAACAGTGCCCTGAGCACAGCTGATTCTAAACTTGCAAGTCCCCCAGGAGAGAGTCAGACCTGTTGTCACCCTTCCTGTAGTCTGCAGATGATGCCCAGAGCTATGGCCTTGGATGCAGAGAGGCCATGAAGCCTCAGGAGAAGGGGATAAAACTTTTAATGGATCTGGGATTTAGTGGCCACCCACCTTCACCACCTCCTTATCAATATTCTCACAAAAGCATGCAAGCCTTGAGTTTCCAGTGTGGTCTTAGCCTGAGGTCCTTGATCCCTTGATCAAGTCTCTTAGATAAAAGCCCCCTTCACTGCTAGCCACTGCCCCATGTGGGGCTGTCCTGTCACTGGCTGTCTGGCACCCAGCAGGCATGTGGCTGTGTACTCTCCTTCTTGTTCTCTTTGGCTGTCTCTCTGGGTCTGCCTTTTCTGCACCAAGAGCCGGGCTGTTGCCGAGTCAGAGGCCCCGCTTTGATCGTCCTGGAGATGTAATAGTGGGGGCCAGCTTCTCCATCTTTGACCTCTCTATTGGTACCCTGCCTGACTTCACTGCCCCACCATCTGGCCTTCTGGTTTCAA